GGGAAACTCTGGTGCCTAGGAAAGGCCAGATGCTGTTGTAAACTGGGGAATCAGACCTACCTTTCTGTTTTTCTCAATCCACATTTGTTCTTTATTTGCAAATAAGTCAGCTAAGAACAGTGCCAAATGAGGCTCTTGAAGTGTAGACTCTAGGAAAGGTGTTGTACTGTACTTACAATCCTTCATTGATGAGCAGTGGCTATTTACCACTGAAGATGGGGTCAGTGCCTCTGAGCTGGGATCCATGTTGCTGCCCATCAGGTCCTGGCGTGGGCTGGAAACCAGAGGTCTTTGACCTGCTATATTCCGAGCGTTAGTGCCCCAAGTGGGTCCCCTGCTTTTCCTCAGTTGTCTCTTTAGTAAATTCTCAGCTTATCTGGTGGGTTTTGAGATAACATTTTTTTAACTCAGTATCCATTTTGCCACATCTGTTCCGTTATTGCACTGAGTTTTTAAAGGTTGTATCCCCAAGATAATGTTTAACTTTTGGGAAAGTGTGTCTTTCAAGTCCCTTTTTCCTTTAATCATTTGAGGGCTCTTTTGTCAGTGGGGGTGTGTGTGTGTACCTGAGAAAACATGTGCATGCACGCCTGGATGCACACGTGTACACATTTACTTGCACATGCCATTGAGTACCCATTCGGTATGAGGTACCATATTATGTTCTGGTGCTGTGGGAGGACCACAGCTCAGAGCATCTAACTTACAGGTCTAAGGTCTCACAGCCATTAAGCCATCATGGCAGGACTAAAGGAGATGCAGCAGATCGGAATTGGCTTCATATCATGGCAAACAACGAAACTAAATCTGCGAGTTGGCCACGCTCACCCCTGGCTTCCTCTGAGCTGGAGCATCTGAGTGTTACTCCTTCTAGGTCAGTATAACAGACCAGAGGCCTGGCTTGCTCACATAGTTACTGATGAAGAAAAAGAAACATTTTATCTGAGGAATGTGAGCCACCTCTAAATTATCAGGCCCAGAGAGGCATGGGAATGAGACAGCGGCCACATCCTACTGCCGTCTTGAGCTAAGTAATCATCTCTTGAAGCTACCTGCTATACAGCCACAAGTAGCCAAAAATTAACCTAACAATGCTGTACACCAGGCACCTAACCCATAGCGTATAGTTCAACCCATATAGCCAATCACAAATCAATGCTATTTCTGCAAACCAGTGAGAATTCCTGACAAATACCTTTACATCACCCCACTCCTTGTCACTTTTCTTACGTTTAAAATCCTACTTGTAGCAAAGGTCAAATGGAACTCATATCGGAGGTTACTTGGATATGAGTATTCTAAGAAGCTGTTCTTATCTTGGCCCCAATAAATTCCCCTCCTATTGATTTTGCCTCAGTTTCTTCCTTTAGGTTGACATGGCTATGCTAATGGCAAAGGTTTCATGACAAAGCCCCCCATGCCCTGCTCCCAGTGCAGGCTGGAGAAGAGGCCAGCTTGTCCTCCTGTGGGAAAGAGGAGTACTGTGAGAATAGCAAAGAGCTCTTCCACAACATTGTCTTTATTTTCAAAACACTCTTCACTTCCCTGGGTGTGCTTGCTCACAGGGGCATGCCATCACAGGGCACTGAGAGGCAAGGGCACCAATTGATCCAGTTTGCCAGGCATTTCCAGTGAAGCTCCACCCTACGCTGCACTGTCCATTTCACATGTCCACAGTTTTGTGTGTGTGTGTGTTTTTTTTTTTTTTTTTTTTGAGACATAGTCTCAGGCTGGAGTGCAGTGGCACAATGTTGGGTCACTGCAACCTCCACCTCCTAGGTTCAAGTGATTCTCCTGCCTCAGCCTCCCATGTAGCGGGCATTACAGGTGCCCACCACTACGCCCAGCTAATTTTTGTATTTTTAGTATAGATGGGGTTTCGCCATGTTGGCCAAGCTGGTCTCAAACTCCTGACCTCAGGTGATCCACCCGCCTCGGCTTCCCAAAGTGCTGGGATTACAGGCGTGAGCCACCATGCCTGGCCTCACATGTCCGCAGTTCTAAAGGAAAGCACCCAGGTGGCATTCACTGGATGCCAAGGGCAGGTGATGAAACTCAGGATTGACATCAGCCCTGTGAGCTAATATAGAAGATGTTTGCATACCCTAAATGGTTATTGATAAGTTACTATACCAAGAGCAGGGCATTGAAGATAACCACGTATCAAAGATCTCATACACAGAGGTCTCTGGGCAAACACCTCTAAGGTGCTTCTCAAGGCTACTTCTTTAGAAAAGCATTTGTGGTGCCCCTGTCCTCCAAGGTCGTCGTCCTTCGTGGTCACCATACCTACGTATAGGTCCATCAGAAAGCTGCTGTTTGACACTTACTCCTTTTGTGCCCCTCCCGCTAGACTGTTAACTCCTTGAGGGTAGGAAACTGTTGATGTTATTCATGGTACTTACCATAATGATTGCACAATCAGAATATTCGCTGAATGAATAAGATCTCCTTAGCCAAGGACTCACACTAATATTACATAGGTGCATACATACATATATGTATGTGTATGTTTGTGTCTGTTTGTATCATAACACATGCATACATGTATATGTATACACATACGTAATACATATTTTAGGCTCCTGAAGCTTATCATTTTGGGAGGAATAGGTTTATTCCTCTAGAGCACTATAAATGTAGAATGATGGACTTACGCTTGAGCTGCATTGATCCAGGACAATCCATGGGAAGTGCTCTTCTGAGTACTGTAAATCCCCGATATGACTTTTTGGTTAAGTTTCTTGTCTGTTGTTTAAGCTTTCTGATTGCTTGGATTAAGGACTAATGATACCTTATGCCAAGGTAAAAATGTTACTAAAAAAAAAATTGTAATTTTAAAACCTTTTGGAATGTCTTGAGTTATTCTTTCTCCATCTAAAGCAGCAATTGAGACTTGGCATCGGAGCATACCCTGTCTTCCCCATTGCATGTGGAATCCAACCTAGCATCTCAGGAAGAAGAATAGATGATTTTTTAAATGTCAAAAAAAAAAAATTGAACTTCCTCCTGTGCATCTCACCTCAGCTTCTGTTGCAGACCTTAGATGCCTGCTTTCCATTATTCCATAAGAGAATAATTTATATAGCTGTAAACAGCTTAAAAGAAGGACACACTTGAAATGCCTTGTGTGGTGTAGGTGCTCACCATTTTAAGAGTATAGTTCCCTTTAGGGCAGGCACAGAAAGACAGGACCTGTGAGTGAACTCGCCGGACTCATCAAACCCCCACAGACCATTTGATGTTTTCGAGGAGCCCACTGGGTCCTGATCCCCCAGCCACTGGAGCCTTGATGAAGTGTGTTCACGCTCGCTGTGGTGGGGTCTGGCCCTGCAATGTAGGACATCTGGACATGAACACAGCCTCTTCCCAGAGAGATGAGATGGAAGAGAATGACATTAAGGGTTCAGAGCATGAGCTTCAGGAAAAAACTCGATTAGTAAATTAAAGAAATATGTACTTGAGATTACTTGAATAAATAGCTTCGTTCTAAAAACTCTTCCAACGCCCCTAGCACCTATCTTCACGTGCACAAATTTTCTTTTAGAAGGAGGGAGTAAATATACATGGGTGAGACAAAGAACTGAAATAATAATCCACCTTTGATCAAAACTCCTTGTTATAGTGTTCCCTGTGAAAACAATTTCTAATCAATGAGCGCTGCCACAGCACACTGAGGAGTAATTACCTTACACGTGTTTCACTCCGAGCTGTGATTAGAAACAAGATGTGGGCTCAGAAGGGCAGAAGACGAATATAAAAAGGAAAAACCCCAAATAGGAGCCAAAATGTACAGGCTATGATATTTAATCAGCACAGAGGCCTGCTCCAGGTAGTGATGCCGACATTCGTTCATTCACTAGGTAAGGATTTCCTCTCTCTGCTAGGTAGGTGTCGGTGGTGGCATTAGCAGCCATGCTAAGGTAACTTATCACATGCTGCCCTTGTATACAAAGATAGGGCAACTGGCTGGCTCTCACTGAAGCATGAGCTTGACTTCAGAGGTGCTCTGTACCAGAGGTGGATTTGGGTTGCTAAGATTACACCTTCTGACCAGACTTCCCAGTGTTGGGAGCCAATTTCCAAGCACAAACTGCTTGGTCCATAGTCTACCAGCCTGAGCAGTCATTGTACCTGGTCTTCATGAGACACCAAGACCTGCAAAGGGAAAGAAAGACTTGGAATTTCTACCTGGAAGAAAAACTTGAAGAGGGGCTAGAGTCAAGTGTGTGGCAGGCTTATTGAGAAGGCAAAGCCTACTTGGTCTCTGTAGAGAAGCTAGAAGAGGCCTTTGGCCTGACAGTGCTTAATGGTGCATTTACTGTACCAATGAGAAGAAGATTCCAAACTCTGACAAGTGTTGGATGCAGGTGTAATGAACAGGCTTACACACTGACAAACAGACATGCTCACTGTGATGGCCCTGCACCTGTGGGGCACACTCAGGAGCAGGAATGTCTTCATTTGTCATTAAGACAGCAGATACTGCCACAGCACCATCACCACCTAGCCATAGCACGGCCACCCTTGGCAGGTTCCTTCCTACCTTGGAGAGGTACCAATCATGTTCCTTCCTTTCCTTCCTTCCTTCCTTCCTTCCTTCCTTCCTTCCTTCCTTCCTTCCTTCCTTCTCTCCCTCCCTCCCTCCCTCCTTCCTTCCTTCCTTCCCTCCTTCTTTACTTCCTTCCTTCCTTGTTTCTTTCTTCCTTCCTTCCCTCCCTTTCTTCCTTCCTTCTTTCCTTCCTTCTTTCTCTCTCTCTCTTTCTTTCTTTTTCTTTCCTTTTCTTTCTTCTCAGTATCTCCCTCTGTCACCCAGTCTGGGTGGTACAATCACAGCTCACCGCAGCCTTGACCTCTCTGGGCTCAGCTCATCCTCCCATGTCAGCCTCCCAAGTAGCTCAGACTATAGGTGCTCACCACCATGCCTGGCTAATTTTTGGGGGCTCTTTTGCTTTCGCATTTTGTAGAGATGGAGTTTCACCCTGTTGTTCAGACTGGTCTCGAACTCCTGAGCTCAAGCAATCTGTCCACCTTGGCCTCCCAAAGTGCTGGGATTACAGGCATGAGCCACTGGGCTCAGCCTGTTGTTTCCTTTTAACTCTTGTCTTCAGACAGCTGAAAGAATGCCAGCAGATTTATTCGCATGACCTTAAAAACATACTCAGCATCTTTAGCCCACCTTGGCCTCCTAGCATGCTGGAATTACAGGCATGAGCCACCTCAAAAACATTCTTGTTAGGTGATATGCTCCAGAGGAAAGCATGGACGTTCTGAAGTTTGACCTGCCTGTTCTAAACTATCATGGGCTGCTTACTTATCTTGCCATGTTCCTAAGGCTCAGCCTGCACTCCTACTCCCCACGTTTTTTTTGGTTTTTTTTTTTTTTGTTTTTTTTTTTAAGACGGAGTTTCGCTCTTGTTACCCAGGCTGGAGTACAATGGCGCGATCTCGGCTCACCGCAACCTCTACCTCCTGGGTTCAGGCAATTCTCCTGCCTCAGCCTCCTGAGTAGCTGGGATTACAGAACGTGCCACCATGCCCAGATAATTTTTTGTATTTTTAGTAGAGACGGGGTTTCACCATGTTGACCAGGATGGTCTCGATCTCTTGACCTCATGATCCACCCGCCTCGGCCTCCCAAAGTGCTGGGATTACAGGTGTGAGCCACCACGCCCGGCCCCCTCCCCCACAGTTTTTAAAATTGTTACCCTCTACAAAATGATTGAGAGAAACTAGAATGAGTGGCAGGCTTATTAGAGCAGTGGTTCTCTGGATATGTTTACAAATGGAAATAGCTGCTCACTCAGGATCTTTGAAGACTCACCTAAACATAACCTAGAAAAGAGACTTAGCAAACTCCCAGAGCCGACTCAGCCCTTATGATTCTGAAGAAGTGATACTCAGGCACAGAATAGTACCTTATGAAACATCTCTGTGTGAAAGGCCAGCTCACCAACTTGGATGAGAATATTCTCCCCACTTTCAAGAATGCTCAAGTTTTTCTTAGCAAAAAAAAACAAAAACAAACAAAAAAAAAAACTTCTCCTGCAAAGCTTCTACCCATCAGTACATATTAGCCACCTTGGAAATAGTAGACAAAATGTCAGTCATTCCTCCTCTGGTGTAAAATTAGGCCCTGGACGAGTGTGCATTTACCTGCTTGCAGGCAGAATTAAAACAGCCAGAATGTGCTTTAAGTGTCTAAGGAAAAATTTGGCCAAGGCTCTGGGCCAGTGCGTCTGTTGTTATTTTAGATTTATTCAATTAGAGTCACAAGCAAAGTAAATTGAGCTGTGTTGTTGATTTGAATATTACCTTGGAAGAGAGTATAAAGAGATTAACAAACCCTAAGGGATGAGGGACAAGTGCCAAGCTCCTCCTCTGTCCCCACACACAGTCAGGCCAGGTTTCACAGATTCATTTAGAAATGACGGAAATACATGCAGAAGAGCAGATGTGCCTTTTGTTTAGGGCCACATAGCCATTTTCTCGCTTCTCCATCCTCTGAAACTTCCTCTGTGTGCGTGAACTGCTGCAGAAATGCAGCTGGTGCGTGTGAAGGCTGTCGGGTTTAAGAAGGTGGCCTGCCCTGAGAACTGGGGGGCTTGGATCCAATCGGATCCTGCCTTTGTCTTGGCAAATAGATTGTCTGGCACAGCCGGCTGCATTCAGTTGACCTGGTGCTTTGACAAATTGGCACAGGTGAAATATTAAAATTAATTGCATAGGCCTCATATGTTTCTAGACGCTGTAGGATAAATAAGCCATGCATTTCAACAAAGAACCTTTTCAGCGTTACCATTTTTAGTGCCATGTGGCAATTGGTTGTCTCACACCCCCTTCAAAAAGTGAGGCATTTTTACATGATTTTATTTAGTTTGACGGAGGTAGGGACGAGAGCGATGCCAGGAAGCCATCCTGTTTTTAGGACTGAAGGGGCATTTTTCAGTGTAAGTCTCCTATGGTTTGGTGGATCACAATAAGGATGAGTTTTTTTAAATAAGAAGCTAGAACTAAGACGACAGAGAGGGAACAGCAGGGAGATACAAGGTAAAAATGGGGAGGTTTGCTTGGCGTCACGTGTGTCCTTAATTAAGACTTTAATGACATTCTTACTGCCGTGGCCTCTCACTGTTTTCCGAGTGTGTCTAATGCTGCCCTCACATCCAGGCTGTAGTATTATACCAAGAATTAGGTTAAAGAAGAACGTATGCAGGCTGTAGTGGTTCTGACTAACCAGCTGCGGTGTGACCCTGGGCAGGTCACTCAGCCTCTTTGAACCTGCTTCCCACCTGTGCGGCGAGGGCAGTGTGATCACACAGTTTCATGGTCCACTCCAGCACTTCCAGCCTGTGGTCTGTGCGCCACAGCCTTGGATTTCACAGCCCCTCGACTTTTGAAAAGAGGAGAGATTTTTCAAAGAATGCCTAGTAGGGTGTGTATTATGAATCTGTTTACTGTAACTGTAGTCGGACCTTGGTATCCATGGGGGATTGGTTTCAGGACCCCCAGCAGATACCAAAATCCAGGGATGCTCAAGTCTCTGATATAAAATGGCATAGTATTAGCATACAACCTACACATATCCTCCTGTATACTTTAAATCATCTCTGGATTATTTATAATACCTAATACAATGGAAATTCTATGTAAATAGTTACTGTACTGTATTGTTTAGGGAATAATGGCAAGAAAAAAGTCTGTACCTGTTTAGTATGGACCAAACCATCCTTTTTTTTTTTCCAAATATTTTTGATCCATAGTTGGTTGAATCCATGAATATGGAACCCATGGAATGGAGGACTAACTATATTTTGTTTTTCCTAGCTCCTTGTAAAGATTTTCATTGGAGAATATCTAGTGAGGTGAGATGAACCCTTCCATGTCCCCTTTGCTTATTATTAGCTGTGACAAGGTCCTAGTTTAGAACTTAGGAACAGGAGAATGAAAATGAATGGCCCAAATGTATTTTTTCTTTTGTTGATTTGTTGTGTTCCTCACCAACGGTAAAGGTAGAATTGTCTGCTGTTGCTTACTACTCTTTTGTCAGGGAGGGACTTCACCTTCATCCCGTCTCATGTCATGAGTCTGAGTCTAGGCCAATCTGCCTTTTCCTGCCTCCTCCCACTTTCCCGCCTCTCTTCCTGGAGGAACCAGTGTCTCATTCGTCTCTGTCCCCTTGGTGTAGTTTGGTACATATCAGATAATCAAAATATATTTGTTGAATGCATTGGTCCAAAGTTTAGGGCTGAGAAGATGAGAAGGAAAACATAGAACTAAAACTAGAATTTAACATAATCAACCATGTCCTCAAAATAAAATATAAACTAACATTATGAGCTAGGAAAGGTAGAGCATGTTCACGTTTACCAGCCTGGGCCTGGGAGGCATGTTTCCTGCCTACGTATTGACTAGAGTTAGCTAAAAAGCTTTGGCAATTGATTGATCACTTACGATTTCTGTATCAAAATGGAAAATATATGACTTATTCTATCAAACTCACTCAAATCACTGCCTTCTTCATTCAAAAGGTAAGAGAAGCTTGTCTTTTATATGTCAAGCATCACACCTTGAAATTAACAGAGCAAAACAGGTTCAAAATAAAACCTGGTGATGGGGAAAGGACTGAGAAACGCAGGTGAAATGCTAACATGTGCTTGAACTTCCACAGAATCATCAGTGCCTGATACCACACAGCCAGTGACCCAAACCACTTGCTAAATCCTCCTCCTTCTTTCATCTCCTGTAATTAGCACATAACCCAATGGTTAAGAGTGTAGAATCTGGAGCCATACTGCCATGGTTTGAATCACACCTGTGTATTCAGTCACCATTATTTTAATTTCTCTGTGCCTCACTTTCCCAATCTGTAGAATGGAGGTAATAATATTGTCTACTACATTCAGGTTATCATGAAAATTCAATAAATTAATATACATGAAGCACCAGGCACACTGCCTCTGGCCTCAATGACAGCTATGTTTCTCATTGTAAACAAATACACTTTTGAATATACTTTTGTTTGGTTTGTACATAGTCTGCAAGACCTAAGATAATTCCAGAGAATTTCCCTTCAGTGAAGTCACATACTCCAAACGGGAGTAAATTCTTCACGTTGAACACAATAACCTCATGTCCTTTAGCAGCCAGCCAGCTTCCTTTGCCAATTTGCCAACATCAACGCCTCTTCAAACTTTAGAAACAGGGCTGGCTTCTTGCATGGAGCCCTCACTCCCTGCTGTCACTTGCTGGCAAGAATACAGGGTCCCCAGCCGGGTGAGGTGGCTCATGCCTGTAATCCCAGCACTTTGGGATGCTGAAGCGGGTGGATCACAAAGTCAGCAGTTTGAGACCAGCCTGACCAACATGGTGAAACCCCGTCTTTACTGAAATTACAAAAATTAGCTGCGTGTGGTGGCAGGTGCCTGTAATCCCAGCTACTCAGGAGGCTGAGGCAGGAAAATTGCTTGAACCCGGGAGGCAGAGGTTGTAGTGAGCTGAGACTGCGCCACTGTACTCCAGCCTGGGCGACAAAGCAAGACTAGCCTCAAAAAAAAAAAAAACAGAATATAGGGTCCCCTCATATCTCCGTGTCATCTGTGACCCCATCAACTCCCCTTGGTCAGCTTGTTTCTCTCCCTACCTGGGTTGCTACATGTCAGGGTTTTCTGTGTCCTGAATGGGACCCAAGGGTGGCCTCCCTCTCCCTGCACTCAGGATCCATTCCCTATAGGGCAGAGGGAGGAAACCAGGGTGTTTTGACCCAGGGTCTCTAGGTGAGTGTTCTTCCTGGGTTCCTATTTGATGAGCCTCAGAGCTCCTTCGCTTCCTTTCTGATGCCAAATTTTTCCTTTTTATAATCTCTTTTTTTTCTCACTGTCTTTCCATCTACATTTCATAGCATTCAAATCCAAAGGCTAGATTTTTGGGTTACCCGACTGTCTTTATTTAAAGTGTTTCATTTAATTCCACTATTATTTTATAGTAATTTCCAGTTATATAAAAATATTATGTATTAGCATGTGTAGTGCCCGTCTCCCATAGCTAGCAAACACCCTTTGTGGAGACAAGGATTTTGTCTCCATTATGCATGCTCCGTCCCCAGGACCCAGACAATGCCTGGCACTTAGTAGGCGCTCAATAAATAGTTGTTGAATGAATAAACACACAGTATAAAACAACATTGTCATGTATGTTTATAATGTCTGTGGGTCAATAGTTAAGGCTGGGATTTGGGAGTTCCTCATTATTCTGTAAAAAGTCACCAAAGCACAGCGTGCTGCAATTTGTTAGGGGGTTAATTTTTTAAATTATAATGGTGCTTGGTAAATCTCCTTGAATTAATGAGTCTTGCAGAGTTATGGCTGATGTGAAAAGGTATATAGTTAGCATCTGTTTGTTCTGTGCATATATCTCTCTTCCATGCTGTACATATATTTTAAGGAACATTTCTTTGGGTGCTGTGTTTTTTTCTATTTATGTCTTCACCATAAAAATATAAATAGATCATTTATCTCCGGTATCCTTAAAGTAGCTTGCATCACTTCACTCTTTTAAACTTTTACATAACCAAAGTTTCTGTCCCCAGTACACATTGTTTGGAGGATCTGAGTGGTTGGGAGCAACCCTGGAACCTTGAGGCCAGCTTCTGGTGACCCTCGATGTTTACATGCAGGGCTAGGAGCTGAGGGTGCAGGCTGCTGGGGGCTTCATTCCCAGGAACACCATGCAAGATGCGTGTGTTGTTCACCCTACCTGGCACCAGATCAGATATTATGCTTAATGCTTAACATACAATATCTCATTTAAACTGATGGCAACTCAACAAAGTGAATACCGCAGCTATTACCATTTTATAGATGAGAAAATCAAGGCTTAGAGAACTGAGTGACTTGTCCTCAGTCCATACAAGCAGATAAGTGACAAGGCTGGGATTGAACCCCCTGCCCATGTGATTCTAGACTCTGTATCTTATCTACTGGGCTGTGTAGTAGATTAAGACTGATGG